CCAAAATCAGCTAAAAAATACATGAAATAAAGTCTAATAAATTTTAATTTTCAGAATCAAATGTCTTCATAGAGCAAAAAAGCGCTGCTTACCAAGTTTCACATCACCAGAATGTGTAAGCAATATGTTTGCTCCTTTTATATCCCGATGTACCATACCTTTGGAATGAAGATAGTGAAGACCTTTCAGTGTTTCACGACAAACAAACGCTATTTGTAGCTCTGATAAAGGACCAGTCACTGGAAGAAATTTTTACCGAATTTCTATATAAAGTTGAATTCAAAATATAGAAAGAAATTGTATTATTTGGATTACAGTTGCAGAAGTGTTTAGACAGAGCAAAAGAAATGTACATTATCCAGAAAATCTACCCATGTCACTGGCTGTGAAAAGATAAAAATAAACTCCAGTTCATTAATGTCAACTACAAAGATGTGCGCTTTCCTGGTTCATATCGCTTGAAATATTTGAAAATGAAGTGCTGAAGAAATACTGCTTTATTTTGAAAAGTTAAAAGCAAGTGATACTTATTATAATACGCGAAACATATTATAAACATCAAATCATCAAGATCAACTGTTCAGAAATTCTAAAGCAAAGCAAATTGAAAACATACTGTGATAAATATCTTGAAGTGAGCCACCACTACAATACTCCATAACGATCCACAGTCGATCACGACGCAGATAACTACCATGATATGCAATTATATTTGGATGCACGCAACCACGTATCATCAAAATTTCTTGCTGAATAACAGCAAAATTATCGCCAGCTTCCAATTTTACTACTTTCACTGCAGATAATTCGCCTGTCCTATAAAATATCATGGGAGTTAATCAGGCTGATAATAACCAAAGAAATAATGTTACAAATATCATAATATCACAATCTCATATCTAAAATATCCTAATCATTAATTTCTGAATTTGTTAAAGTAAAAGGGCTGAGATTCGCTGTAAATAAATGTTATAAGTAACCTGATATGTTTAGCTTTATAAACCTCGCCATACGTACCCGAACCCACTCGCTGCAACAGTTCATAGTCATCGGTTGGATCGGCTCGCTTGATAACATCCAAACTCATTATCTAAAATTTAGTCGTATATGTATATGCATAATGGAAAGAAATGCCGACAGATGTTGCAAAATGAGAACTCACAGATGTTCCTCAAAATGTTGAATGGTACCACAAGCCATATTACTCCCGTCGTGTTATAAAACTAGTATTGCACGCCTGTAATATCTCAGAAATAAATTAGTCATCCAATCAAAAAGAAATATATGCTCGTCGATAAGTATCAATTCTTACGAAATAAATTCAGATATTCCATTTCAGAAGGGGAAAGGAATAGATTCATTGGAATTCTTCATATACAATAACGGAGTGTTCATAAACATATCTGCCATGATTATTTTTCACTAGCCAAATTCTGAAATATATCTTTATGTCAGATAATTGATCATTTACGAAAGTAATGATTTTCCTTACAATTTGTGCACAATATATCCCGTCTTATCACTTAAAATAAACATTAAACTCCTGTTAGAATAAATCTTAGCAAGAGGGACTACGTTCCTTTCTGTACTACCGTTTAGCTATTAATTTTCAATTAATATATTCCGACTGCTAAAATTTCCTTATGTCCTATATCAGAAAAATGCAAAACCGAAACTCTCGTCGGTTTTTATCCTTAAACCGAAACATTCTAACGGAGTACACAATTCTCTCTTTGATAACAGAAATTTGCATAGCGATGTAGAATACGCAATAACTTCATCCCAATGGATAAACTGATCGGGAAAGATTGGGGGGAGATCAACCCGGGCGTGAGAGATTCAGGGAACGTGGCAACGATAGTTTCTTTCTTTTGTATTGTTATAGCTCAAAATATCTCATTTTTAATTGGATTTCATTGCGGCATCAAAATCATATAAAATAAGAATTCAAAATAAATAGAAATAAACGAGAAGAAATTACATTAGAAAGTAGAATTTAGAAATTTTCGGTACTTTAGAGCAGAAAGCATGTTAACCATTTATCAACTGTCAGCGAATGCAAAAAAAGAAAAGTGGTGATGAATGATATATGCCGAAAATTCATGAAAACATGTGACACTAATAACCAATACGTGGTCATATGCGCACGTGTTTATGTGATTATATGCGTAAATGCTTACGTGATCAATAATTCGCAGACATGTGAACTAAAAAAGAAAACACATTAATGCTAGTTTGGCTATGATGCAGAAGGGAAGGGGATGTAGAGACCATCATCAGCCGATGTGACATGTGACTGAATTGTGGGATGAGGGACTTATCTCTCCCAAAGTTTGCCAGGATGCTGAAAAAAGATCATTGCACTCTTTCATGGAAAAAAGGAGAAAAATGAGAAGAAAGCTTTGAGGCATCATTTGATATATTCAATATAGCTCATCTGTTTTTAAATAACAATCTTTAATTCAGTCCTTCTCCTCCTCTTCTTCCTCTTTTCCTCCTCCTCTTCCTCCTCCTCTTCCTCCTCCTCTT